AAAATAATTATGCATGGAACCACCTGAGTATGATTCATTAAACCCACTGCCACTGAGTCAATTCCAACTCATAGTAACTATATACATAGAGAGAGAGAGAGACTCTAAAATTTCTGTGTTGAAAAAGTTTGAGGGCAGCAACCTAAAAGGGCAAAGTGCAAGACAGAATGTTTTGGAATTGCATTAGCAGTGATAATAGTTTGTTTACACTGCTTGTTCATTTTGGAGTAGCTTTGTGGTAGTGCTGATAAAAGTCCCCAGAATATTACTCTTAGTGCTACTCTGATAAGCAACCCAGCTGTATTTTTATTCTAGGTGTCAGTATGTTGTTGTTGTTGTTATGTGCCGTCGAGTCAACCCTGACTCATAGCGACCCCTCCTTGGGTTTCCGAGGCAGTATCACTACGGAAGTAGGATTGCCCAACCTTCCTTCGAGGAGTGGCTGGTGGGTTTGAACCGCAAGCCTTCTGGTTAGCAGTCAAGTGCCTTAGCCACTATGCTACCAGAGCTCCCAGGTGTCAGTATAGTACACTTGAAAAGTCCCTTCAGATATTCAGTATAAATTTGCTGGAGGGAGTGAAGAAGGATGGGAGGCAAGTTTTCCCTGCTCCTGTCCATTAGAACAACCCCTAGTAGTCTCCACAGCCTATTTTCTTCAGAAAGTTGTGAAGATATCTACACCCTCCCAAGTTCTCTTTATGGTATGGTAAATTAAACACTGATTTGGTTTCTGGAAATATGAAAAACTTTGATAATGGAACACTGCTAGATAGGTAGAGACAAGTATTTATTTGGGTGAAGGGAAGGGCAATGTACCAAAATTGGGTGATCAACACAGTGCCACTGAGGAAGAAGAAGACACAGAGAGGTACACAAGAGGTACAGACAACAAAGATAAACCCTTTTACATATACAATACTGCACTGTCAGTGGTAACAAGCATTAATCTACAGGTATATAGATGGGTAGACAGGCTGAATGATCAGGTATATCTAGGCAAAGTGATCAATGGTGGGAGAACAGAAGGGCAGTGTCTGCACAGGAAGATAGTTTGTGGGGAGGAGGAGCAGGAATGCATAGGAAAGAAGGACACAAGGAGGAGGTAACTATAGGCAGGGAGTGGGAAGAGAGCTGTTACTTTTTAGGATGCTTCTGAGATGAAGGAGGAACCATCTCCTCTTGCTGTTCAAGTACAGAAGCTTGGTCCACAAAGGAAAGAAAAGAAAAAATGGCTCAATTCGTGATCTGCCCAGCCAGCGCCACCGACTGAAGTGATGTTCTGCAGCTGATCAAGGAACTGTTTAAATATGAATACATGGAAGAGCAAGTAATATTAACTGAGAGAAATTTGCTGAAAGATGGTGCATCACTTCTACCACTATCTAGTGGTTGAAGTGTCAAAGGAGCATTGGACACCAGAAGGACACGGCATTGTTGGTTTTGACATGTACTATTTTACATATAAGGAGCTCTGGTGGCACAGTGCCTAAGGCATTTGACTGCTAACCAGAAGGTTAGTGGTTCAAACCTATCAGCTCCTCCACAGAAGGAAGATGGGCAACCTACTTCCGTAAAGACTTACCATCTAAGTGGGGGTCCCTATGTGACAGAACTCATTTGATGGCAGTGAGTTCTTCAGTTATTATACATATGACCCATAGATTGGTAAGCTACTGTATCTTGCGGACTTCATCATCATGGGTGATTTTAAGGGCATTGGCATAGAGTCAGAAATTCTGAAGAATCTAAGCCAGATTGCTAGGAAATGTCACTGCCGCAGCATGCACTTTTTGGTGGCAGAATGGAATGAACCTTCTATCAACTTCTACAAAAGAAGAGGTGCTTCTGACCTGTCCAGTGAAGAGGGATGGAGACTCTTCAAGATTGACAAGGAGTACTTGCTGAAAATGGCAGCAGAGGAGTGAGGAGTGCTGGTATAAACAAAATGTTCCATTCTGTTTAGAATAAATTCTGAACTTCCTGCTTTCTATCCTGTTTGTAGTGGAATAATAGAATGACCTCCCATTCCAAAGCTTTATTATCAGTGGTGTCATTATGTTTGAAAGGCAGTCTATTTAAAATGACAATTTTGTATGCAGTTAGGAATTTGATTTTTCTTTGAACATCTTTTGATAAACAAGGTGTTGTGATCTTTATATATATAAAAAAACACTTCATTCTTATGAGTCATTTAAATGTGTACAATGTACACACTGATACTTATAGTTTCTGTTTTCATTTCTTTTTAAATAAACTGCCCTTTGATTTAAAAAAAAAAAAAAGACAAATACTGCAGCAGGGTATTTGTTATTCAGTTTGTATACTTATTCGATTTGTATGCTGAGCAAATAATCCAAGAAGTTGGATTATATGAAGAAGAACGTGGCATCAGAATTGGAGGAAGACTTATTAACAACCTGTGATATGCAAATGACACACCTTTCCTTGCTGAAAGTGAGGATGACTTGAAACGCCGATGAAGATTAAAGACTAGTCTGCAGTATGGATTACACCTCAATATAAAGAAAACAAAAATCCTCACAACTGGTCCAATAAACAGTTTCATGGTAGATGGAGAAAAGATTGAAGTTGTCAAGGATTTCATATTACTTGGTTCTACAATCAACACCACTGGAAGCAGCAGTCAGGAAATCAGATGACATATTGCATTGGGCAAATCTGCTGCAAAAGACATCTTTCAAGTGATGAGGAGCAAAGAGGTCTCCTTGAGGACTAAAGTGCGCCTGACCCAAGCCATGGTGTTTTCAGTCACCTCTTACGCATGTGAGAGCTGGACAATGAATAAAGAAGACCAAAGAAGAGTTGGTGCTTTTGAGTTGTGGTGTTGGAAAAGAATGCTAAGAGTACCATGGACTGCTAAAAGGACTAACAGATGTGTCTTGGAAGAAGTGCAGCTGGACTGCTACTTGGAAGTGAGAATGGCCAGATGTAGTCTCACCTCCTTTGATCATGTTGTCAGAAGGGACCACTCCCTAGAGAAGGATATTATGCTTGGTAAAGTGGAGGGTCAATGAAGAAGGGGAGGGCCCTCAACGAGATGGACTGACACAGTGGTTGCAACGATGGGCTCAGGTATAGCAAGGATCATGAGGCTGGCACAGGACCAGACAGTGTTTCTGCTGTGCAAAGGGTCGCTATGAGCCAGAGATGATTTGATGGCACCTAACAACAACAACAGCAGCAGCAGGGTCTCAGTTATACCCATATACAGGTTGCTGTTGAGTTAGTCCCAACCTATAGCAACCCTATAGGACAGAGTAGAAGTGCCCCATAGGGTTTCCAAAACTGTAAATCTTTACAGAAGCAGACTGCCATATCTTTCTCCCAAGGAACATCTGGTGAGTTTAAACTACCAACATTTTGGTTAGCAGCTGAGTGCTTTATGACTGTATGATCAGGGCTTTGCTAGTGTGTCAGTCCCCCAAGAAAACAAACAAACAACAACAACAAAAAAAAAAAAACTCACTGCCATCAAGTTGATTCCAACTCATGGAAACTTCCATTGGGCTTCCATGGCAGTAAATCTTTACAGGCACAAACTTCCTCCTCTTTCTTCCACAAAGCAGCTGGTGGGCTTGAACCACTGACCTTTGGTTAACAGCCAAAAGTGTTAAACACTACACTACTAGAGCTCCTTAGAGTGTCAGTTATTGTACAGAAATTAATTTCTTAAATAGTGGTATCCTATATACTTACATAAATTAATACATTTCTACTATGATAATGAAAGTAAACTTTCTGCCTCTGTATTTAGGCATCCTTTTAAGAAGTTCTGGTGACATAGTGGGTAAGGCATTTTGGCTGCTAATTATAAGGTCAATACTCAAACCCACCAGATGCTCTGTGGGAGAGAGATGAGGCAATCTACTTCCATAAAGATTTACAGCCTTAGAAACCCGATGAGGGTCGCTGTGAATCAGAATTGACTTGATGGCAGTGTTTTTGTTGTTACCAAGATAGTAACATAGCCTGTTCTGTCTCTGTCGACAAAATGTTAACCTCATTTGAATTTGGACCCTTTTTGTATAACAGATAAATTTAAATTTTGAGTCTTCGTCATATGTATGCAAATGCTGAACAATGAATAACAAAGACTGAAGAAGAATTGATGCAATTATGGAGTTGGCAAAGAATATTGAATATGCCATGGACTGTCTAAAAAACAAACAGATGTCTTGAAGAAGTACAGCCAGAATGCTCCTTAGAAGTGAAGCTGGCAAGACTTTGTCTCACGTACTTTGGACATGTTATCAGGAGGGACTAGTCCCTGGAGAAAGACATCATGTTTGGTAAAGTTGAGGATTAGTGAAAGAGAGGAAGCCTTTCAACAAGATGGATTGACACAGTGGCTGCAACAATGGGCTGAAATATAGCAACAATTGTGAAGACAGCTCAGGACCAGACAGTATTTTGTTCTGTTGTGTGTGGGGTCTCTATGTATAGGAGCCAACTCAACATCACCTAACAACAAACATTTCAGTACTTTGGTATTATTAGTTTCACCAATAAGGAGACAATTTAACTCATTTTTTCAAGCTACTTGAAGGGTGGTTGTCTGTATCACACTGGGTTTTCTCTGAAGAATGGAAAGCAGCTTGTTATTCATTGACTCTAAACCACTGAGGTATACCAAGTACTAATTTGGCTCTCCTTATAACAAAAACTTGTCAATGAATTATATGTGGAAATTATATGTTCTCTAAGTTAGCTCATTGCCTTGTGACCATGGCATATGGGAGATTGTTAGGGAGATTGTTAAGCTGAATTATTGTTGTTTTTACTTTTTCTTCTTGTGAAGAAAGCTACTTTTAAATTGATGCATTTATGGGTTTGATTAAACCTTTCATACTGATAGTGTCTTGGTAACTTCCCTAGCCTGGAAAGACGAAGAGGATGTGGAAGGGACAGATTTTACCTAAAAAAAAAAAAGCCGTTGGAATTGCTTTGATGATTTACACTTTTTTTTTTTCTTTCTGTAGGATGTAAAAAACAGACGAAATCCCCGTCTTGTTCCCTATGCTCTTCTCGATGACCGAACTAAGAAGTCAAATAAGGACAGCCTTCGAGAGGCTGTGCGGACCTTGCTGGGATATGGCTACAACCTGGAAGCTCCTGATCAAGATCATGGTATTTTTATTTAACTTTCGTTACCTCTGGTTGCAAAATCATTTAGTAGCATTTAAAAGCAAAATAAATAAAAGGAGGAAATAGTACATAGAGCAGTCTGAGTGTCTGATTTAGGCCAGTGGTTGAGAGTAGACTTTTTTCTCCTCCCTGAGGATGATACCTGAAGGACTAGGACCCTCTCTCGTTTGTTTGGCTCAGCTGTAAAGTGATCCTGCAGGAGGAGAAAATGAGTTTACCCTCTTGAAGAGTGTAAGGTGATTGGTTAACCTTCAAACTGATTCTGATACTGTCCCCTCCACCTAGCCCTCCTTCACAAGAACTAATTTCAGTTGATAATGGGAGTATACCTGTAGTAGAAACTAGTATTTTCTAAAATTCCATATTCATTTTTTATATTCATACACATGTTGTTGTTGTTAGATTTTGTCAAGTTGATTCCAACTAAAAGCTACTCTATGTACGGCAGAACAAAATCCAGTCCTATGCCACCCGCACAGTGGTTACTATGTTTAAACTCATTGTTGCAGCCTCTCCGCCAGTCCATCCTGTTGAGCATCTTCCTCTTTGTCTCTGACTACTGTACCAAGCATACTGTCCATCTTCAGGGTCAGGGACTGGTTCCTCCTGATAACATGTCCAAAGTACCTGAGACAAAACCTCTCTGTCCTTGCTTCTAAGGCACATTCTGGCTACACTTCTTCCAAGACCAATTTGTTCATTCTTCTGGTAATTATAGTATATTTAATACTCTTCCCCAACACCATACTTCAAAGACAGCAATTCTTCTTTGATCTTCCTTATCCATTGTCCAGTTTGTGCATGACTTGGGGCAGGTGCACCTTAGTCCTAAGAGTGACATCTTAGCTTTTAAAAAGGTTTTTTGTAGTAGATTTGCCCAATGAAATACATTGTGTGATTTCATGACTGCAGCTACCACTTTGTTGATTATGGATCCAAGTAAAATGAAACCCTTGAAAACTTCAATACTTTTCCCATTTATCACGATATTGCTTATTAATCCAGTTGTGAGGATTTTTGTTTTCTTTATGGTAAAATGTAATCCATGCTAAAGGCTGTATGTAGTCTTTTTCTTCATCAGTAAGTGATTCACGTCATCATCACATTCATCAAGCAAGGTTGTGTCATGTGCATAGCACAGGTTATTAATGAGTCTTCTTCCAATCCTGATGCTGCCTTCTTCTTCAGGTAGTCCAGTTTCTCAGAATGTTTGCTCAGCAAACAGATTGAATAAGTATGGTGAAAGGATACAACCCAGACACATACCTTTCATCATTAAACCATTCGGTATCTCTTGTTTATTCAAATGACTGCTTCTTGGCCTATGTACTGGTTCTGCATGAGTACAATTAAGTGTTGTGGAACTTCCATTCTTCTCATTATTATCTATAATTTTTGTGATTCACACAGTTGCCTGCCTTTACAACAGGCAATTAAAAAATGTCAATAAAACACAGATAAATATCTTTCTGGTATTCTCTACTTTCACCTAAGATCTATCTGACATCAGTAATGATATCCTTCATTCTGTTCTTTGAATCCAGCTTGAATATCTGGCAGTTCCCTCTTGATGTATTGATACAATGATTTTTGAATTATCTTCAGCAAAACTTTAATTTGCATGTGATATTAATGATATTGTTTGATAATTTCTACATTCTGTTGGATCAGCTTTCTGTGGAATGGACACAAATATCGATCTCTTCCAGTTGATTAGCCAGATATTTTCTTCCAAATTTTGTGACGTTAATGAGTAAGCACTTCCTATGTTGCATCCATTTGTTGAAACATCTAAATTGATATTCTGTCACTTACTGCAGCCTTGTATTTTACCAGTGCCTTCAGTGCAACTTTGACTTCTACCTTCCACACCATTGATTCTTGATCATATTCTACCTCCTGAAATGGTTGAAAGTTGACAAATTCATTTTGGTGCAGTGGCTCTGTGTATATATTTTATCTTCTTCCTGCTTCATTCAGTACTCTGCTCATAGAATTCTTCAGTATTACAACTCAAGGCTTCAATTTTTCACCAGTTCTTTCATCTTCAGAAATGCTGAGTGTATTCTCTTGGTTTAACTCCAAGTCTTTGCACATTTCACCTTAATACTTTATTTTGTCTTCTTGAGCCACCCTTTGAAATCGTCTGTTAGCTCTTTTACTTCATCATTTTTCTACTTGCTTTAGCTTCTTTGTGTTCAAGAGCAAGATTCAGACTGACATCATTCTAACATCCATTTTGGTCTTTTCTTTCTGTCTTTTTGTGACCTTTTCCTTTATTCATGTACAGTGTCCTTGATGTCATCCCACGTCTTATCTGGTCTTCAGTTATTAGTGTTCAATATGTCAAATCTGTTATTGAGATTGCCTGTAAATGGAGGTGGGATATATTCAAGGTTGTAATTTGACTGTCATAGACTTTTTTTTTTTTTTTTTTTTTTAATTTCTTCAGCTTTAACTTGAAATTCCATATGAGTAATTGGTGGTCTGTTTCACAGTTATCCTGTGACCTTGTTCTGACTGATAATACTGAGCTTCTCCATGGTCTCTTTCCACAGATGTAGTCGATTTGATTCCTGTGTATTCCATCTGGCTACCTCCACGTGTATATAGTCACTATTTATGTTGTTGAAAAAAAAGATACTTGCAGTGAATGAGTCATTGGTCTTAAAAATTTCTATTGTCTGACCTCCAGCACCATTTCTATCACCAAGGCCATATTTTCCAACTACCAATCCTTCTTGTTCCCAACTTTCATATTGCAATCACCAGTAATTATCAATGCATCTTGATTACATGTTTGATCAATTTCAGACTGCAGAATTCGGTAAGAAAAACACTTGAATTTCTTCATTTTTTTCATTTATGTTTGGTGGGTAAGTTGAATTATAATCATATTAACTGTCCTTTCTTGTAGGTATATGGATATTATCCTATCACTTACTCACTGAACTTCAATATGGATCTTTAAGTGCTCTTTTTTCAGTGACTGTGGTGCCCATCCACTTCAATTTGTCTTTGCTGGCATAGTCAACCATGTGATTCCCAATTCAAAATGGCCAATACTAGCCCATTTCAACTCACTAATACCTGTAATATCAGTCTTTAGCTGTTCCATTTCATTTTTCCAACTTTCAATTTCCCAGATTCATACTTCGTATATTCCCCATTACAATTCCTAATGGATGTTTGTAACTGTTTTTTTTCCCCTTATTTTAACTCATCCTACATCAGCAAATGAAGGTCCCCAAAACTTTACTCCATCCACATCATTAAAGTCTACTTTACTTTGAGGGGATATCTCTTTTGCAGTTACATTTTGAGTGCCTTCCAATGTGAGGGTCTCATCTTCTGGCAGTATATCTGAAAATATTCCACTAACTAGTTTTTTTAGAAGTAGATCACAAATTCACCTTCCTAGTCCATCTTAGTCTAGAAACGCCACTGAAATCTGTCCAACATGGGTAATCCTGCTGGTATTTGAAATACTGGTGGCATAGTTTCCAGCTTCACAGAAGTACAACAAACTGACAGACAAGTACTCATACGAAAAATGTATAGGCAATATTAATTAATAAATGGAGTGTTTTGCTTTAAGAAAAGCACATGACAATAGCCACACAATAAATATGTGCTGAATAATGGATTTTTAACTGTTATATAAATTATACGTTTTTGTTAAATAACACCTTTAAGAATATGGCGTACAGTGATTAATTCCTTAATCCTTTGCTCAAACAGTTTGAATTAAGTTAATTACAACCCCCAAAAAAAGAAAACAACTCACTGCCATTGAGTTGTATCCAACTCATAGCACCCCTTGGGTTTCTGAGGCCCAACCTTCCTTCCAAAGTGTGGCTGGTGAGTTTGAACCACCAGCCTTTTGGCTAGCAATCAAATGCCTTAGGCACTATGCCACCAGAGCTCCCGAACATAATTATACATATTTTAAATTAGAAAATGTGGATCAATGAATGTATTTTTCAGTATGAGGCCTATTTTTTGTTTGCTTAAGTATTTTAAATCTACCAAAATTATCCTCCAGTGACTAATATTATCAGTATAGTATCTGTACATAGAAAGTAATGCCTGCAGATATTAAAGTAATAATAATGGTTAATATTGGTAAGGTTCAGTGGAGAGATTCTTTATTTGGCTTTGAACACGTTCAGTGTGAGATAATTGTGACACAACAAGATGGAGAGCCCAGAACTCAGTTATATACACAGTAGAAAGCTGAGGCTATGTCTTGAGAGAAACCAAGAGTTAAAGATTTTATTTTCTATTAGGAGATATTTGAGCATATTTATATACAAAGGAAAAAAAAATAGAAGAGAAGGGAAGAAGATGAAAATAGGGGAATAAGAGAAGAACCTTGATGAGTGAAGGGACTGGCCTCATATAAAAGGGAAAACACTTACCAAAGGTTAGTGGGAAAGAGTTAAGGACTAGAGAGATTCAGAAACCTGTTTTATGGATAATCAGAAGGAAGTGTAGGGAATTCCTATTTTACAGTTATTGTTTTTATTTTATTGAAATTTTATTTTTTATTTTTTATTTTATTGAAATAAAAAATAAGTTTATTTGCTAAGATGGAAGAGTTTCAGAAGGCTAGACTGGGTTAGAAGTCTTGAAGAGATCATTAAAGATTTGCAGGATACAGAGTTCTTAGTCCATAGTCTTTTTTATTTTTTGTTATTTGGGTGCAAGTTTATAGAGCAAATTCATTTTCTATACAACAGTTCATATACATTTTGTTTCATTGCTATTCCCAAATGTAAAAGCTATTTTCCTACTTGCTCCCTGTGTCCTTCTTTTCTATGCATCCCTGTCCTCTGAGCTATCTTCCTGTGCAAATAGTGCCCTTCTGATCTCCCATGGTTGATTGTTGTACTTACCTGTTATAAATGCTCACCTTATAAGTTTGTTTGTTGTTTGACTGGAAGTTACAGGAGTAAGATGAATTCCATTCCTGAAGGGCG